GGGGCATAGAGGAGAAACAATAATGTACAGTATGTGGAAAATAATGTATTTTTTTAACCTTAAACCGCATAAACACATTTCATTACACCAAATACACAAAATAATGTTCTTTTTAGCAACATAATATGACCCATTTAAGCAGCATGGCTGTTTTCAACATTGATAATTATAAATGTTTCTTGAGCACCAAATCAGCATATTAGAATGGTTTCTAGAATGGTACTGAAAACTGAAGTAATGACTGCTGAAAATTCAGCTTTGCAATCACAGGAATAAATGACATTTTTTAAATATATTAAAATAAATATAAAGGTATTTTAAATTGTAATAATATTTCACAATACTGCTGTTTTTTACAGTGTTTTTGAGCACATAAACTGGTGAGCATGAAAGACTCTAAATAAATAAATAAACAAACAAACAAAGAAAAAACTTATTTGTTGTAGCATATCTTGAGTAATAATCTTGTGAGGCATGTTAAGAGACATATTTTATTGTTAGCATACAGGCAAAAACATTTTTTAGAAATATGTGATGATAATACTTACTCAGACACTATTTTCAGCCAATCTCCTATTCGAAATATAGGCTTGCAGATATCAGGAGGAGGGTAGTTATCCAACACTACTGCTGTGTCATTCTCATCAACTGTAAAACAGAAAATATTGCATTTGCATTGGTAAAAAATATATATTTAAGTGACGTGACATGTGGCCAAGTATGGTGACCCATACTCGGAATTAGTGCTCTGCATTTATCCCATCCAAAGTGCACACACACAGCAGTGAACACACACACACCATGAACACACACCCGGAGCAGTGGGCAGCCATTTTTGCTGCGGCGCCCGGGGAGCAGTTGGGGGTTTGGTGCCTTGCTCAAGGGCACCTCAGTCGTGGTATTGAAGGTGGGAGAGAGCGCTGTACATTCACTCCCCCCACCTACAATCCCTGCCGGTACGAGACTCGAACCCGCAACCTTTGGGTTACGAGTCCGACTCTCTAACCATTAGGCCACGACTTCCCCTTTATATGTTCATAATGTTTATGTATGTTAGTTGTTTTTTTTATGTCAAAGATAACTTTGATTCTTGCTAATAAACAAACCTGTATTTTTGCGCATTTGTGTTAGGAAGTCATTTGTATTTATGTTGCAGTGCCAGGAAGTACTCAGAATATGTTCCTTTAGCCTTTGAGCTAACTTTTTAACTTGATCATTTAATTCAAGAATGATGACTAAACAGAAAAACAAACTTCCTTGTTTGTTACTATTCAGTAAGTGTGATTCCAGCTAATGTTGTGCGCTTGTGTCCAATTTTAGAGACTTCATATTTTTTTTTAGGTCGTACACAAATTTCACTTGTTTTTAAGTTCAGCTTAGTCTATTGAATAGTATTTCATTTCAAGGACAAACCACAGCTAACACTGCACATTCTGTCTACACGGAGAACCGATATATGCTTATGTATTAATACAGTTTGAGTCTCTTCACACACCACAACATCTGTAAATGATTGAAGCGATGTGGCATCAGCCTACAATAACTCAGAACGTCACTTGAAACCAGTCACTTGAACAGTGCTCAGCATTTTCGTACCTCTTGGTGGAAGGCCTTCATTAGTACGAGCTTGTTCGAAATCCTCCAGGGTTCTTTGGCTTGCCAGAGTGCCTCCCATTGTCAGTCTCCCACAGCTATTCCTACAAATTTACCACATCCAATCAGCCATCAGATGTCTGTCCAAACCGAGACAAGCTCCCTTTCTTATAGATTCTCCTATGGTTCTGTTGTGCAACTTCCCACTGACAAGAGTTTAAGGGCATGGCCTGAGTAAACGGGGAAGCTGTGTGTCTCACCACACTTTCCATTTCACAAATAAGCAAAAATAGGAAGTGCTGAAGTGAAACGGCTTTATAATCACATGCAAATTAATTCAGGAATGCTCTATATATGGAAATAATGCACCGCTTCTGGTAAATAGGTGTATAAATAGCAGTGGTATGCAAAGAGAACCACTCATGGTTTCATGATTTTCTGTTTTGAAACGTTTTCAGTCCAAACCATAATAGATTAATATAAACATTTGTTTATGTCTCATTGACGTTTGAGTCTGACTGGAAAAGTTCTCTAAATTCTATCTCAGACAAATGTCTTTAAAGTAAAACAAAAAACCCATAATAAATGAGGTCTAGATGAAAATACTTCATCATGGTTGATGACTAAAGATCCGGATACCTTTTTAGTGGTCACATGCAGTGCTTAACAATGCTGTTGTTTGCTTGTAGGGTGGATCGTTGTTTTCTCCAGCTGTTGTAATGAGTACCTCTAAAGCCCAGGTGCAAACTGCATCTCTGGCTAGGGAACTTGGCTGCTCGGCCTCTGATATTTCACAGCTGCTGACCTGCCTAAGGAGTAAACCAGCTCATAGCATCAATGCTGCCCAGACCAAGGTACAATGGGCTACTGTTGTGAAGAAAAAGCACATAACTGATAAAAACGATCATTATTTTTGTTGCGTAACATTCTCTGGGTGTTTTTCTGTGTAGTTGTTAGCAGTGAGTGGTCCCCTGCAGGCCTGGTCACCAGTGGTTGATGGAACTGTAGTTCGTGAAAAGCCTTCTGTGGCCCTTCTGTCCGGACGCTTCCACAAAGTTGAATTACTTCTAGGGTCATCATTTGAAGACGGTCTCATCAGCAGAGCCAAGAACATCAAGGTCAGGACACAAATATATCAGACTGAGAAATGAGCGAGAGGAAAGCACCTAAAAGATAGTGTGAGAATTAAAGCTGGGTGTGGTTAGATAAAAACTAGTTACAATTTCTTATTGGCGCTTTTGTGTTTCTTTTATTTGAGAAGAATTTCGAGCAGCTTCAGGGAAGGGCTGACAGCAAGACAGCATTTTACGCAGCCCTGTCTAACTCTCTGGGTCGAGATGATGCTAATGCTTTCGTGAAGGAGGCCGCGACCTGGTTCTACTCTTTGCAGCACTCCCCCACACCCTCAGGATACAATGTGTTCTCTCGCGCACTGGAAAATGCTACGAGGTATGAGGTTGGAAGGTCATACAGAACAAAAGTATATTTTGTTTTCATTATAAGAATGTTGGATGGAAAGCATATACTGTACCTCCCAGGTACCAAAGTTGCACTACCATGCAAAATTGGGCTAAGATTTATTTATTTGTTTTAGTTATTGAAAGAAATTAAATTTTTTATTCAGCAATGATGCATTAAATTGATCAGAAGTTACAATTAAAACATTGTTGCAAGATATTTATATATTTAAAAAAAAAAGCTATTCTTTAGAACTTTTCTATTCATCAAAGTATTCTGAAAAAAAAGTAGCACGGTTTCCAAAAAACAAACAAACAGCGCAACTGTTTTCAACACTGAGAATGAGAAGAAATGTACTATCAATCACCAGATCAGCATATTAGAATATAGTATCACTGAAGACTTGAGTAATGGCTGCTTAACATTAAGCTTTTGCCATTACAGGAATAAATTACATTTTAAAAATATATTGAAATACAGAACCGTTATTTTGAATTGTAATAATATTTCACAAGATAACTGTTTTACTGTATTTTCTATCAAATAAATAGAATTTTGGTGAGTGAAAGACTTCTTTTAAAAACACTAAAAGGTTCATTTTACTGTGCTCCCAAAGTGGCCAAAATTATTTCTTAGAGAAGTTAAATGTTTATGCCATTTGAATGCAATGTTAAAAAGGCAATCTAATTTAAAAGCCCATGATCAGCTTTTTGTTTGTAAAGCTTAGTTGCAACTCTTTAGTTCAGTGATGGGCAAATTTGGCCCTTCCAGGCCACTTTCCTGCAGAGATTTGATCCAACCCTGATAAAACGCACCTGCCTGTAGCTTTCTAGTAGTCTTGAAGACAATGATTAGCTGGTTCAGGTGTGTTTGATTAGAGTTGGAGCTAAACTCTGAAGGAAAGTGACCTGGAAGGGCCAAGTTTGCCCACCCCTGCTTTAGTTAGATGCCAAAATGAACAATAGATTTTCTCTCTCAATGTGTTCACAGCTGCCGTTCTGTACGTGAATGATTATGTTTGTTCAGACTCTTGAAAAAACGTTAAGTGGTCTGGAATGCCGAGGAATCCAGAGCTGAAATCACTTTGAGCCTTAGGGTAGGACCCTGTGTTTGAACCGCTCTTGTCTTGCATTCACTGAGGGTGTGGAGGCAGCTTTGTTTGTGGCAAAGAGGAAGGAAATGGTATATATAGGTCTCTGAATGAAATATACTCAAGTGTGAGTTTAAAACAGTCCTAGTAAAAACTGTCACTCATCACTAATCTGAGAACAATTTCATGACATTTTAACAGTGAAGTTTATAGACCGGATGGGGGTAACTAATATTGGAAGAAGAAAACTATAAAAAAAAAAATCTGTACAAAAATACAATGATGTTTGAATGGTAATTTGATGACGTTTAAGTAATATATTTATCTACTTAATAGGTAATGGCTGAAATGACCTAGCTCTGAATGATACTTGATGCGTGGCGGATGCAACCTTCTTGAGCTCAGTTTCTGTCAAACATCAGTATTCTGAATTTTATTCAAAGTGTGTCTGGAAAATATGAGTTCAGCGGCCTAGCATGTACACTCTTGAGAGTCAAGAGTTCATTTAACAAAAAGCTCAGTCTTTTCCTTCTAATGTATTGCTGTTTGTGATTACCAGATCATATCTGCAGACACTACATTGTTCAATTTTGGAAACATAGCCAAAATATTTTAAATTCAGAAAGAAAATGCTGAGTAGAATTACATTTCGACTACAATAAGGTTAAAATAAAAAATAAATAATGATTTCATTTCTGCAATGACACTAGAATGCTAAAGGACACTAGGATGCGAAATGCAATAATATGAAATTCAGTAAAATCTTTAGTGTTTAGCTCATCTTTGAAGGGCAGTTTCACATTTTCTTTTGGACCTCTGTGTCCTGAAATTCCTGCTTCTTTCTCTGAATTGTCAGTAGCTCTGAATGCAGTTGAGAAAGAGGACAAGCTGGCTGCCCACATAATCACTAGTGTCAGATATAGTACAGACCAAACCTCACCAACACACCCAATGACCTGCTGCACACACAGCAGCATAGCAACATAAACAGGAAAGAGACCTAAAACTAGAATAGTACATATAGAACCCGATAAAACCAAGTTTAAATCCAGCATCATTTCCTGCTCCTCTTTTCAACCATCGTTTCATTTCTTTTTGTTTCAAAGCGACAATCAGGAAATAATTAAACAATGTTAAATGTGATAAAACTCCTGTGTTGTTATTAAAATCTTAAAATGCAGGTGAAGCTGCCTGCACCTTGCTATGCATGATGCATTCATATTGTGCACATTTATTTCTACAGAGATCTCTTCATCATCTGTCCAGCTGTGGACATGGCTGAATTCTGGGCAGCCAACACACGGTCCAGTGTTCACATGTACCACCTACCTGAGGAAGCTACCTACAACAGGTGCCTCTCATTCCATATACTTCATATCATACTTACTTGATTTCACAGAACTCATGGTACCACTCATAATAAAATCTATCACATTTAAGAAGAATCTCTGTATGCTAAATATATTTTTGTCGCAGTGTTGATCTGTCAGTACCGATGGATGTGCAGTACCTCTTTGGAGTTCATCTTGCCTCAGAAATGCATGACCTCTTCAGCTCCAAAGAGAGAACGCTTACCTTGCAGATCATGAACTATATGGCAAACTTCATAAAGTCTGGGTATTCATCATCAAACTTTTCTGTTGTATTTTTTTAATGTTGTTATGTAATGTTTTTTTCCCCCTTATGTATAAGTGAAACAAATTGTCATAAAAAAAAAATTTAGGGCAGGACTTGATTCTGATTGGATGGAGGCAGATCAGTGTCAGTCTGGTCAACTGTAAGAAAGAAGCAGAGTTTGAAGGTAGAGTTCACTCAAAAATTTAAATTCTGTCATTTACTCACATCGCAACACAAATTAAGATATTTATAATGAAACCTGAGAGGTTTCTTAATTTGTGTTTCAAAGGGTTTCAGATGACATAAGTATGAGTAAATGATGACAGAATTTTCTTTTTTGGTGAACTATCCCTTTAAAACAAACAAATGATTGGAGAAGTCTAGCATTTGTCATCAGAGAGAAGTCTACCGTTTCATCAGAAGATTGAGTTATAACATTTTAATTGAAAATTACAAGGTCGAAAAATGAAACCTGCATTTTCATTTCAAACCGACTTTAGTGATATTGCACAGCCCTGTTCATCTCTCCTCTGCTCTCCATAGCAACCCCAACCTGCCTCTTGCAGCATCTAGGACGTCCTTCAGTAAGTTCTTACCCCCATGGCCTCAGTTCATGCCTCACCCGGGTGGACGGGGCTATAAGGAGCTGTCCTTTACACTCAGTAACCGCAAGAACCTCCAGAGTCCTCAGTGTTCCTTCTGGTCTCAATATGTGCCGACTTTGATCACCTCTACCGGTTAGTACCGCATTTAGAGATTGGAAGATAACAGTGAGTTTTTGATCAGTCATAAATGCTTATAAATTTTTAAGATTCTATGCACTTGGTAATACTTGTAAACCTGACTTTGACTTTTGACTTCACAGCGCAATTCTCCTGTGAGACTTCAGTGGGAGATTCTGGAGGTATTCAAAATCCAACCCAAGAGCCAAAGTCAATCCCAGACGCCAGCTTCTCTCTGACTCCAAGCAAACCTAAATCTGAGAAAGATGCTTACAATTAGTCTCAAAATTTTCAGATTTTCTTGTAATTGCTTGTTCCAGAACCAATCTTGGCACTCTATCATTGTGGTGTTTCTTTTGATGTAAATCATTGTGATTATGAATCATAGTAGAACTTAAACAATAAACTGCATTGAAAACACTTTTGGGTTATTCTTCACTTTTGACATTTTTAAAAATGATTAAGACATTGTTAGAGTATTTAAATATCCTCATTAAATAATTAATCAGGTGATTTTACATTAAAATGAAGACATCATATAGTCACATGGAATAGGGACTGACCAAAATGCCAGGCGGACATATGAAGTTTCCAGATGCTGGAACAGTCTTGTGTGCCTCTGACTGAGGGCTACTCTGAGATGCTAATTATCACTTTATTCCTGGAGATTATAAGAAGCCTTTCCTCTTTGTCTAGACTATTCTGTTCCAGTTGTCTGGACACTTTTACATTCAGCCATATAAATGAAGTCTCAGAATGTGATATTTTGTGAGACATTTTTTACTCATTTCTACATGAACTATGAAACAAAGTTGCACGTTAAGGGTTGAAATATGAAAGGTTTTCCAGTGATTTCCAGTGAAGTCTGTGATGTAGGAGATTAGTTTAGAATTTACTGTTCTTCTGTTTAGTGCATCAGTGGCAGGCTGCCCAGGTGTCTGTATCAATTTGTAAACCGTGGAAACCTAAACAGCAGCCTAGCATATGATTCAAGGTTTTGGCAAAATATGAGCACATCACACAAACCTTCCAAAATGTTGTTTGTGTGCATTTTAAAATTCAATTCTATGCTTACCATTTAAAATTAACTTAAAAATGTATTATTAATAAAAATGTTTTTTTCAAATCTAGTTTAGCAAAGATTAATGTGATTATATTTCAATTGGTCCATTTTTTGTTGTAGATTCAATTACTGTAAAAATGTTAAATTA